TAATCCTTTCATTATGTGGAGGGTACTGAAAGGTTTTCTAAACAGAAAAAAATCAAGTTTGAACTTCGAAAATTGGATTTCAATATTTTCTTCATTCAGAATTATATGTTCAAAATTGTATCACTTATCCTATCTTTCTTTATAAAGTAATTAGGCAAAATTGCACATATCGATCGATTTTATCGTGGCATCCGCTGTTATTGCAAGCAGAATTGCAAATGCGATCGGTCAGTTTTAGTTAAAGCAACAGAGCGATGCACACAGCGTATCGCTCTTGATGCCAAGGTCTTTGTACCAAAGGGTTGGCGAAAAATGTTCGGACGATAGCGGGACGTATGACATAAAAGCACACAAATAAATATCGTATTTTACTAAAAGACGATTTCTAAAAAATATAAATATCTGTCGGACAGATTCATAACTGTGTTTTAATCGGTAGATTGACAAATTTTCTATATTTTATTTTGAACGAAAAACGGGTATTTGTTCGATGACTTTGATAAAACTAGGATAAAGATTTATTTTAAATTCTCTGTACGCTGAATAACTAGTAAAAAGAAATATGAATTTTAGTATTTGCTTGAAGAGATGTTACGCGAGACGTTGAATTCGTTATTGCTGTGATCAAGAAAACGTATTACACATACTGAGAGAAAGGGTTTGTTAATTTAACGAGCCACCAGTACCTTTAACAAATGATTTGTGAATATGTGACAACAAATTGATTTGTTGTGATTGCTGCTAGTCTGTTATACCAATTAATTATACATATTATTAGTAATAAAAGCAAACTATATAGAATCTAATTTATTTTTTGGATAGACTTTATTTGCTAGTAAACTGATTGTTTTGATTATTTGTTACATTGACGAATAATGAAAAATAATTTGCAATAGTTATAACTGATCGATCGTTTTTTTTTTTTTACCAAATCATCATATTTGTTGCCCCCTTGATTTGTTTCTATAACAAAGTCAACAAATTTTTTTCAATGCATATTTTTTTCTTTGCTAGAATCGAGATGGATAGAAGAATAACTTGTACTCGGATAATTGCTTCCTAATGGCCGCGAATATGATATCTCACTCTTCTTTCCATTAAGCTTTGTTCCCTATTTGTCTCGATCTTCTCTCCGATATTACAAGCTGTTTGACATCAATCCGACGATTTAATGACGATATTGCATAATCCAACATGTATTTACATCGCATGCTATGAAAAATTGCTTTTATATCACGCTTGTCGACAACCTGCATAAGCAAGGATCTCTTACATTTTGTTTTAATAATTATTCTACATTCACGGACAATACGATATGCGGCATCAATATGCAAAAAGATTTTAATTTCAATTAGTCCGCGACTTCTGACTTTTAAAATTTATACGCCGTATATCGCGTTGCATTTTGTTGCGAGTAGTTTATGCTTTAATAGGATTCCCGCGCGACGAAACTACATTTTCCAATTCGCATACCATGCGAGTCTCGACTAGGGATGGTAGGTAAAAGGGTTCGCGCGTGAAACTTAATAAATTAATCCCGTAAACATAGAGAATCGCATTGCGTCGGCTATTCCGTGCGTGCATCATGAACACGTGCACGCATCTGCGGCGATGCGATGGCGGGATGCAATACATGCTCGTGGCTTTGGCGATGCAAGTCCCGCGGAAAATATCAGTGTATACAGCGTTCTGCCAGCTCTCTCTCTCTTCGCTTCGCGTGATATATTTACTTAATAAACGTTCCGAACGGCAGGAAAATTTAAATTAAATTTATTCAGTGAAAACAGCGTGTAGGCGCGAGGGCGGCCACAGCATTGTTTGCGAGCGAACGAAATGCGCAGAGCCGGGGTGACAGTGTGAGAGAGCAAGTGAATTGGGGGTTGGAGGTGACCAGAAAGGACAAATGGACACAGAGAAAGAGAGGACAGTTAAAATAGTGGATGGATAGAGTAAAACAGACGGAGGCGAATAGAAAAGCGGACACAGAAGGAGTGTAGAGATAGAATGTGGAAGGAAATAGGGCGACGAAAGAGCTACGAACGTACAGGACTGTTAAAATGAAGTGAAAAGCTCGGGAGAGGGATGGTGGCGCGTCTGAGTGACGGCGAGCCGTTGATTCGGCTGCGGAAGGAAAAAAAAACGTAAAAATATGCTCTCTCGGCACGCTTTTCGTATGACGGAAATGTGTCAAATTCGCGCGTGCTCCGTCTGCCGTGCATGTTCGAGCTCGGCGGAGTTGTCGCGTCGGGGAGGATCGGTGATGATGGCGCGCATTGCGACAAAGGGTACGGGTAACGACAAAAAAAATATTCGTTCGCGTTTCATTTCGTTCGTGCACCGGGCATTTACTGCCTGGTCGCCCGACCGTGTTGTTTTCGTATTATCCGAAATTCTTCCGGTGTCAATGGCCTGTAATTCGAGCAAACAACGACCAGCTAAACGGCTCACGACTGTGGTCTGTCCGTTCATAAATTCGTGCGGGTCTCTTTTATCACTGTCGGGATACGTTTCGCAAACTGCGCGACGTATAATGCACGATTGAGCATTCGACCGCCTGCATTTCACATACTGTGTGGTGAGAAATTTTATTGTGTTTTCCACAAGTTCCACAAGTGTTTGTTCGATTACTTGCGTGTGGAATGCTCTAAATGAAGTTACAAAAATATCACGACGAAATCCTGTTTGCATTTCCTATATATATCCGTGGAATTTATTAAGAGACAAGCAATGCACTTTTTGAAATGGTGCCAACAATAAGAAAGAGGATTTACCGTTGTTACATAAGTTTTTATCCTTTGTTATACATAAAAAAATAAAGTAGAAGTATATCTTAAGTTTTTGTTACATTTGCAGACTTTAAGTTTGGATGACTCGAGGAGGATGCTGATGTTAACGTTCGCTTCAAATTGCCGCATTTTCACACATCGTTTGTTTCTTGAAAATTAGCATGTTGATTAAAATTCGACTTGAAAGTCTCTTTGAAACACGAAACTGGGCTGTAAGTTTCTCGGGTAGAAAACGCGTAGAAGCGAGAGCCGTCGATGCCGGAGCGTGGACAAAGTGGTCATATTTCGCACAAGTGTCCCATGTCTACCCTTTTGTCTTTTCCCTAGCGGCAACCGTTGAAAGCAGCTTGCTGTAAGCGGATATTCTATTTAGGAAAAAAAGTTGGAAGCGCGCTTGTTCCTTGCCGTTGTATAAAACTGCTTATCGACCGGCTTGTCCTCCTTTACTGCATAGATCCACTTCGTTTGAATATGCAAACTAATTTATTTCTATACCCTCTTTTCTCGGATCAGGCAATATATAAATACGATCTTGTAAAGTACTTTATTTAGCGGAAGAAGTGCACCGAAATCGCTAAAGGGGATGGCGGATTGTTTGCGACGTGAATCGAGTGTGTACCTATCGGCTGCTTTGCATAAATTCGGTCTGACTGCGACGCCGCATTTATGAGGCAACGTCGTTTTCAACAGAATCATTGCCGCCGACGAAGAAACTCCTCATGGAAAATCACGTTGAAGTTTGAAAAATTCGATGGCACGCTCGAAACAGACTGAAGCTCACTCGGGGGAACGCTGGGTGGACGGCTGCAATTGCTCACGGAACGTATCTTCCTTCTCCCGAGCACGGCGAACAGATTGTCAGAAACCGTCGGATCGTTCGTTAAAGCGAAAAATCACGTGCACGAGATTTACTTCGATTTCATATTTTTTCTATTGCATCGTCTGTCGGCGCCGTTTCCAAATGTTGATTTATCGTGAAATAAACTTTGCTACTCATAACTAAACATCAAAAAATAAATATTTATCTTATTGAATTTTTGAGAGATAAAGAAGCGCTTTTTCTATTTTCAGATCGCTTTGACAAAAATAAAGCAATATCCTTTAATTTTTGATTGACATCTGTCGCGACGAATTTTAATTATGTCATAAATTTACACAATAATAAAAATTTTATATTATAAATATTGGACGAATTTTTAAAGAAATTCTCTTTAATTCGACCTTAATTACCGCATAACTCGTGAAGTTCGCATCAAGTACATGGTCTTAATCATTAAGGTATACTATTCAAATTCATTCTACTTAGTTTGTGCAGCTGTGCTCACCTCATTTCTTCTCTTTACATCTGCTTTACTATTTGCGTGATGTAAAAGTAAATTATAGAAATTTATTCCGAGTGTACTTTATGCGCTCTACCTCAAAATTCTACTTGAAATTTTTTCATAGCAATAATGTTGCGATTTTTTAATATATTTGCGCATAATGTGATTACGTGATGGTGATCAATAAAAAATTAAAGTAACTGTGTTTAAAATGAAGTAATCAGGCATAATATCACGGTTACCTTAATTAAAGTTATTTTCTTATTATTATTCCATTGTATTATATTTGTTTTATTGTAAAGTGCTTTTATTGTAAAGTCATTTTCTAAGAATATTCTATGTTAATTCATCAGATATTTTCTATAAAAAGTTCTTTAATAAAAATTTGATAAACTTCGCTTTTATATTTGTTTTCGGTTCTAATAAGCAGAGGCTTAATCTCATGAAAAGTTTCGATTTTAATGCTATACAACCTGTATATCGCATCTGCGCATATTGCAGGAGATAACAATAAAGAGCAATTTATCTCTTTTATCTATGGTTCTTGAAAAGCTATGTAGTCTGTATGATGTACCTTATTGCGGATTACAATAAATTTCAGGAAGCACATTATGAACCTCTAATGAAGGTTATGTATCGAGGCTAAAGATAAACTGAGGAAATCCGACCTAACAATTCTACCTGAAAACCTGATGTTGCGCGGTTATAGTTGACACGCGAGATTATGGAGGCATCTCGTAAATTGCTCTACGGGTAACCTGTTCGCGCTATTATATTCCCTGAGTAGTAATTGCGTAAATATAGTCTGTTATAACCTGCTCTTTTGATCGTCAACATTGTTTTCTAAAGCTATAAAAGATGGACAATGACGTGATCTTTCCGCAGTGTTAAAATGTGGTCTAACAAGTTCGTGTTGTGTGCGTTTGTGGTCGCATGGGCCAAAGCCGAACAAGATGTTCAATTAGAAATTCCTCAGGGATTTCTAAAGGGCCTAAAGGCTAGTACTGTAATGCAGAACAGGGCATACTACAGCTTTAAAGGGATACCCTATGCAAAGCCCAATGTTGGCCTTAATAAATTCCAGGTAAGTTAATTGCCAGATATATGTATATATATATTTGCACGTATATATATTTTTTAATAGACTACATTTAAAATACAAATTTAAATCGTAGAATTAAAAGAGTAATAAATTAATATTTGAAACTTCAATTCTTATCTTTGAGATGCCGGAGCCAGCAGAATCTTGGGAAGGCACGTACGATGGGACCTATCATCGTTCGTCTTGTCCTTTCTTTTGTACGATACAACAAGATATAGTTGGCGAGGAAGATTGTCTTTTTCTTAACGTTTACACTCCGGTATTGGACAAAGAGGCTTGTAAAGCTGTTATGGTATGGTTCCATGGCGGTAATTTCAATCATGGCATGGGCGATGATACATTCTATGGTCCTGATTTTTTAATCGAGCAAGATATTGTTCTTGTGACGCTTAATTATAGACTAGGTGTAATTGGTAAGTAAATAATACATTTTCGATCATGTTTTTCGTGAGACATTCTAAAGAAAAATTTTGCTGAAATATTTAGAAATTTAGTTACACTCTTTAAATTCATAGTGTTAAATTATATTCAGTTCGAGTTATTTTCAACCATTTCTATAGGTTGCTACTGCTGTTACTCAATACGTCGTTAATTTAACTAAAACAATAGAATTAAACAATTCAACTTAATTTAAAGAAAATGTATTAAATTTTGACTCAAATTTAATTTATTATTTACCAAGTGCATACATTAATATGAACATTGTTTACTTCGAAACCAAGTACAAAAATGGATTGATTTATATTTTGACACATATATGGAAGCCGAAAATAACAAAATGTCATTTAACTGAATGAACTGTCATTACTCCTTGATATCTAAAAGTGTAGATTTAAAAATAATTTTGTCGAACAAAATAATTATGTAGGACGCTCAAACTGTTGGCTAGACAATAAAAACTTTTTGCAGAATCGCTCATCACGATTGAGTTTCCTATATAATTATTTTGATGGTTTAACGAAATTACTTTTAGATCTGTATCTAGCTAAATTTTTATATACTTCTCCACAACCATTCTTTTTGTATATAATTACTATACTATTATCGGATTATAGGATTTTTAAATACTGGTGACAAGAATGCGCCTGGTAATGCTGGTCTAAAGGACCAGGTAATGGCGCTGAAATGGGTCAAGGACAACATACATTATTTCGGTGGTTGCCCCAACCGAGTTACGATCTTTGGCGAAGATGCAGGCGGAAGTTCCGTCCAGTTTCACATGATGTCTCCTATGTCCGATGGTGAGATGTGCGATTATTTGATTACTTGACCGAAATAAACTTTTGTCGCTTTCACGTCAATGTGAAATATATACAACACGATTTATCGTGCCACAGGTCTATTTAATAAAGCTATTTTGCAAAGTGGAAGCGCGGTAAATACATGGGCGATATCTTACGACGCCAGAGACGTAGCCTTCAAATTGGGCGAGAAGCTCGACATTGAGACTACCAATTCTGCTGAGCTAGTTGCTAGACTCGCAGAATTTTCTTCAAAAGAATTAATTGCGGCCAGTGATGATTTACCCTTCCTTAAACAAGTATTGCGTTAATTGAATGTATTATTTCCTTGTTGCATGCACGAGAGATAGCGTTACAAATTACGCTAAGTGAAGTTTACGGTACACTTATCCGAAGCAGACATTACGTTAACGAGTATTGAGCGGGAATAATCATTTCGATTGCAGAGCGCCATGAACGGCCGCACCGAAGCGTTTATTCCATCGGTGGAAGCTGACGTAGGACAAGAGATATTTCTGCTGGCCGATCCCTGGACGCTTTTGAAATCCGGAAAAATTGCCGACGTGCCCGTTATGGCCGGATTTACGGCCGACGAGTCTTCCTTCTATGTGCAGAGTAATCACCGATACGATATTACGCGAAAGTTACATGCTCGATGTCATGTAAACGATATGAAAACATTTGTTTCCAGTGATGCTCGGCAATATCGACCAGATAAATGAGCACTTCGAAAACTTCCTGCCGAACGACTTGAATATAACCGATGCTGGGCAGAAGAACCAACTAGGTGAAAGCTTGAAGAGCTACTACTTTGGGGATAAATTGATCTCCACGGAAACCACGAAAGAGTTCATGATGGCGAGTACTTAACGTTAATATCGTCCCGCTATCGCGAAACTTCGTGTAAGCAGCGCATAAGTTTAACGATGTGCATATTAAAGTTGTTTGTGCATTTTAGATGTTAGACGACGTCATGTTTGACGTAGGGATCGCACTCAGTTTAGAGGTATTAAGTTCCCGAATTTCGTCTCCAATTTACCAGTACATATTCTCTTACGAAGCTCCGTTCGGTATGATAAAATCTTTAGTCCAAGTGGAGGACGGTGAGTTACGAGTTGTGAATTTCCGTAGGAAATTCGCTCTGTATTATGATGTAGTCATTGTACAGCGAAATAGGGAAAAAGTGATGTTATATCACGTTTAATAATGCATTTGTGTATACAATTTTTATCTCGTTCAACTAGGCGCTGCTCATGGTGACGATTTGACTTATGAATTTTATTCGGACGCGTTGAAAAACGCGCCACAACCAGATTCCCCCGCTGAGAAGATGGTTCGCATTTATACCACGTTATTGGCGAACTTTGCAAAAGATGGGTATGTTCATAGTTCTTCATAGAAAGAACGGTTTTGCTGAAGTGTTTACAAATTTGACTAAATACAGATCTGAAAATAATTTTATTGAACTGTCAAAATAATTATAGAGAACGCTCGAGCTAGTTACTAAAGTGTTAAAATTTTTTTGCAGCATTGCTTATCATGTTTGAGTTTCCTACACAATTACTTTGATCATTCAACTTTAAATGATTTTCAGATCTGTATCTATAGTTACATTGTTAGATACTTTAGCAAGATCATTCTTAATGTGTTGATTACTAAATTAATAGCAAGTACAAAACTGGAAAGCAATTGTGATATTTTCAGAAATCCTACATCAAGTACGAATGAATTTGTGGACGTAAATTGGGAGCCCAGAGGTATAGAAGATAACTACATGAATATTAATCAAGAGTTAAAAATGGAGAAAGGTTTACTACATGATAGGATTGATTTCTGGAAGGATTTATACAAACTTGTTCTCGGCTAACAAAAAAAAATACATACAACGTTACGAGAATGCGATATAAATATACTGGTCACTTGGAAGTTTATGGTAAATGGTAACACAAACTTATTCTAATGTGACCTGACGAACAATATGTACAATATATATTATATTATATAAAGATTGCAAATGTGTGTATAAAAATAAAGTTTTAACTGAAGGTATTGGTAAGATGCCTTGATGCTTTACTTCGAAAAGAGAGAGGCGAAAAGCGAGGTGATCGATAAAGTTTGTGTTAAATTATAAAACATCCAATTAGAGTTGGCAGTTACATTTTCTAACTAATATCAATTACCGTTGATATATATAGCTGGTTATATCAACAGACTTTCGAATCAGGGTACTTCTATTTTATATTACGCATTTACGTACTTACCGTAGCTATGTTTTTGCGGCAAGTGCGAAATCGTTGAAAGAGAAACATCGAGTCCATATCTGAAACAGCGAAATTGTTGCGGGAAGGAATGTTGATGCAACTCGGGTAAACTCTTAGCAGTTGGTTACTGTGGTTGAGATTGGCAATTTGTTGTAACCTGCCGCCTCTCTGTCTCTTTGTCTCTCACTCTCTCTTTCTTTCTCTCTCCCTCTGTTCTTCTCTCTCTCTCTTATACCACACGTTCGTATCTTTCCTTGCGGCGGTCGAGATATATCCGGTGGCGTGGTTAGTCACGCACGCACGGTCTCGCAATGCGTTACTGTGCGCGCAAAGCGATCCGCTAACTGACGTATCGGATGAAAGGAAAATTTATGCCTTGTCAGAGCGTTACGAGCCAAATGGTAACAAATAGGGCCACAGCCGCCGCCGGCAAGAAACTCTTTTGTCGTTATCGTGCGCGCGCGGTCGCGGTATATCGTGAACAATTCGCGAATAATCACACGAAATGAAAATTATTGCGGGCGAGCGAGCGGCGTCGTTGCAGCTGTTGCTCGACTGTTCCGTACCCGCCTATATCCTTTTTCATACAGGACCGCGAAAAGTTTTCGTATAACGAAGTGAAACCGCTAACACTGCGAGTTCTCTAACGAAATTACGCGCTTGTTTCGGCGAACGAATAAGCGAGAACTTTTGCTCACGAAGTACGACCGGACTGGGACGACGAAATGAATGGAGAACATACAGCCACAAAAGAGGCAGTACGTCAATTTCTCGCGAAATATGTTCTCAATGTACGTCGCTGAAACTGCAACCTTGATACGACCAGGCCGACGTGTTTTATGACGTAATGAAAAGCGCGGCCATGGAGGTATCACGAACTTTAACGCGATGCTATTTTCAAGTACATAGGAAGTCACGCGGAACGCGAGACACACGGGGCCACGGGTATATTGATCGCCAGCGCGGGTGCAGTTTTGACTGCGGGACCCTGTGCGCGCGAATGCAATCGATCATCTCGCCACGGGCGAAGAAAGTCTGCACCGGTGCCGACGCGCCTGAATAAGCGATATTGTTAAACGGAGTTTTCATTCTTCACCGTCAATGGGATTGCAGCGCAATGATGTTGCTGTCTCTGTAGGATTGACCGATCGGAAATACCGGGAAATTGATGAGTCTTACGGGTTCTATAAAGCCCTCAACTTTCGTCTCAACAACTTAATATCTTGTCGGTACGACGGCGAAGAAACGTATTTGCTCTCGTCTTATGAGAGGAAATTTCACTCGTGTTTTCCTGCTAACACGCCTTGACGTTCGTAGAAGCGAAGCGACGTGGTATAAATGTAAAGAGCACGTGGATAATGCAAAACAAAATATAATATATCGCCGCAACGCTCGTCAATATCTTAATTTACTCCATTTAGCGGCACACAAAGTTCCCGCGAGCCCATTATCCTTGATACTCGGGCTTAGTATTCGCGATACGACGCCATCCGAGCCCGTTATGCCCGTCTTAACAAGCGGACAAACTCGGTTTGACGATGCCATAATTCGCACAGAAATGCGAAGCGTACTGAGTTTGGCGACGACACTTGACGAGATAAGCGTGCTTATTTACGATGGTTTGCAATTTGGAAACGCAAAGTTGTTGAACTGCCAGCCACCTCGGCAAGAGTGAACTTTAGAACTGGGCGACCTCGATAGCGAAATCGCCGAAAAGGATTATTAGCATTACGACGACAATTATATATTTAATGACACTCAAACGACAGTAATTTACCACGTTTTAGTCACGCAACTTTCTGTTATTCAATCGCGCGTGTCAGTTTTATCGCGGGCGACTTAACGGGATTTAATCGAGGTTACAAGTATTCCCCTCGTGTGATCAGGCGAGGATGTCGGGATTATGTATTAGTTTACCACGCTCTCAGATATTCACCCTTTCCGATGCTTAAGACGCGTGCATCCTCCGTGTATGCGCGGTGTGGAGTCCCAAACAAACATTTACGTTCCTAGCCTGCACGGTGATTTCTCCTCCGTAATGCATCCGATCGCATTTGGATTAGTCCCCGATCTTTAACCGCAGTGTGAATATTGAAATCCCTGGATCGTGTCGACCCAATTTAAACGTCGGCTCTTGGCCTCATCCAATATCATAGGAAAATGCATAATCTACGGAGATAACGTGGCAGCCCGAATTAGATGACTCGCAACTGAAGTGGAAATATAATTTATTCAACTATACGTTATTTTTATATATATAAACTTCGTAGTATACGTGTATATAGGTACATATATATATATATAACGTAGCACAATAATCCAATTTGCAGTATCTAATGATTATATAGTCATGTGATGATTCTACATAGAAATGAGGATATAGAATAATATGCGCTGAAATATCACATGGGTAGCTGGCGAACAAAAGGGAATCCGTAACAAATCTGTAGAACGAAAGGAAATTAAAATGGCGCTCGGTTCAGCCCTTTTCTTTTGTAAAAAAATTTCGGTTAAGCCTTTGAATATGTTCAATGAATGCGCAAAACGGCTGAGCAAATTTATTTTATTCAACTATCGTATTGTTTTTCCTCATTTTTAAAAAATAATATAGCAATAAAAAAATTAAATAAATAGAATATAACAATCATGTGCTTTTATCTTTTTCAAAAAAATTATTCTCGAGATGACTTTGACGTTTTTAATTTTAGCAAAATTTAAACCACGAAAGATGTGTAACAAAAATTCTCGTTCCTTTTTAATTAATATATTGATAACGCATAGCATATATTTCGTCTTTAACAAAAATGATGCCGAAATAAATACTTCGAAAGTAACAGAATCCTCTTACACACAATTAATGGATTATTATTATGGAGAGACTGTGGGGAGTTAATGTGCGGTAAATTAGACATTGTCGCTTAACGATAGTTTCTGACAAATATGGGGGACAATATGAAACAACGCAAATGTTTGTACTGTATTATAATAGCGCTACTGCCACTCCTATTTCCGGCAATATGCATGCAAGCGACATGCTCATTTTAATGCTGACAGTTCAGATATCGCCACCAGCGTAGTAAACTAGGAAAAATGAAATGCTATTGATTAATCCCTTGATCAATAAATAATAGCGGCTTAACGTTTTCCTATAATTATGAATAGCTTGACTTTGAACGCGGGAGATTTACGATTTGTTGCATACGTATTTTCATCTTCGTGACGCACGCTTTTTCAAACGACTGCGCGACCGCTGTTTGTCGTAAATGTGTTTCATATATTTAAACTATTCACGCAGTAAGGCTGATCACATATTCGGTAGAAATTAATAGCCATTTTATATCAATGAATAATTTCTACGGATGTTGCAATAGAGAGCTTATGAAATTTCTATATAAATCTCTCTAATATCATAATGTTGTGCAGATATGATATTATACGATTCATATAATATTATAAGCGTTATCGTAAACATTGTATTCCACATTAATGCATGTAAATCAGTCTCATACACAACACGTCCTAATCGCTTATTATTTATAAGGGAGAATTGCCAAATGCGTACTTCTTAAGATATTTTTTATTATAAAAATGAAACAATAAAGAGCATACACCACGAACGCAAGATATTCTTAGCGAAGTTTATATTTTATTCCAACACATATAATCGGATTATATATCGGAAAAATAGACGTTTCGGCCTTAAATTAGGCTATCTTCAGTATATAAGTTATGTAAAAAATTTTATGTTTTGAACACGCAAACGTACAGCTAATCTAAGATAATTCATCTCCTAACATGTCTAATTATTACGCAAGAGAACGCTCGTTAACTAAAATTGTTATTCTTTTTTCTTAATACTGATGTTAGTCCAAAGAGTTTCAAATATAATCCAAAGAAATTCGTCTTATATTACAATATTCCGATAATTCAATTGTTCGTAATTCGTTATTAATTGAACGCAAAATTTCCAGATTCCGTGTTCCAGTTAACTCGTGAAGATTAATATCGAAAGTGGATGACTTATTGTAATAAAGAACTCGTTAAATTGTTCTGCCCATTTTCTATTATATTTTCCATTATATTTTCCATTTCATTATATTTTCATTATATTTTCCATACTAAGTTGAGCATAAGTAAACATTAGAAATTGTAGTTTGATTGTAGTTTCAGGGATCTATTATTAGGCATGTTTAACTTTTCATGAATAACAAATTAATTTGTTTATAAGTCTTTTTGTAACATGCTGCAAAAGATATAATTTAAGCAACTGATCGCCTAAATCGAGCCTCCCTTAAAAATATCGAATTTATAAATAAAAACGATTAAAAATATGATCAAAAGAAAGGTTAAATGAGATTAAGAAAAGGAATTATTAACCAATACTTAATAACTAATATCGAACTTTAATAATTTATCGAAAAGAATGATCAAGCATTTAATAATTAATAAGTATAAAGTATTTATGAAAAGGTAAGGACATTGACATTTAAATTTATTTTTGCAATTGACATTTATATTTATATCAATTATTAGTTTTATTATTGTTAACTATCAGTTTTACCTTGTAAGTGACACAATTTAAGAAACTTAATAAATTTCTACGCGTGATATGCACAATCAGAATGTATATAAATTCACACAAGAAATGTATTTACTAGCACTAACAATAAGA